CAGGATTTATTGGTGGATTCATCAAATTTCGGTAGAACTCTTCCTCAGCTGAATACCCTACATACACAGATATATATATATACTTTTTAAATTACATTGGGACGTATAAGACTGATAAGTAAACAAACTACATTGAATTAGTGATGCAGAAAGACAGGTGTGAAATTTTTTCCAAGTAATATTGAAATAGGTAAGATGAGAGAGAGTATGAGAGATCAAAACTAAGACAAATTGCATTACGTTTCAATTACATCACTAGCATGATGAAGCATTTGCCGTAATTGGTTGAAAACAGCTGAGTTCGAAGTGCCAAAATCCTCAATAACTAAACATCTTGTGGATTACGGACATGATATAGACTGGGTCAAGTCATTCACAATTGTCAGCAGATAAAGAAACAAGAAGACGCTTGCAATTGCAAAGGCTTGTGCAATTTCATTTTATAAACCAGGTCTCTGTTTACAGAAGGAGATGGTCGTGACTCTGATTCTACCATGGTAATACGTTTCACTTATTATTCTACCTCAGTATTATTATTCTTGATTCATTTAAAACTATCCTTTATCAGTAAGTAGTATTATCTTAACTCACTTCAACACTATTATTATTGTTATTATAACTATTACTATTGATATTATTCTGTTTGCAATTGTTGTCATATTCTCTAATGACTAATTGTTTATCTAAGGGATGTAATTGAAGCGTAATACAATTTATCTTAATTTTGATCTCTCATACTCTCTCTTCCATTATCTATTTGAACATGAAAACATTTATTTCCCGATACGAATTTATAACAAGCAATAAAGGTTAATTAAAGCAGGCATGTACTGTCCTGTCCATGAAGACTTTCTAAATGTAGATCTTTCGATTATGCCATCATTCATTTTGGCTAGAAACACTTCTAGGAATTTAACAGTATCGTTTTCCTCGTGTTCTACTGTGAAATTGAGATTTGGATGGCATGAACTGAATTTTATCAGCATGTCTTCCGCTTTTGATCTGCTTTCACAGACAATAAAAATGTTATCAACATGTCTTAGGTAAACATCCGTTTCTTGTATATGTTGCTGCCGCTTTATTAACCTTTATTGCTTGTTATATATTTGAACATGACCTGAAAAATATTCACACCTGTTATTCTGAATGAATAATTCAATGTAGTCTGTTTACTTATCAGTCTTATATCTTCCAATGTAATTTCAAAAGTGTATATATATCCGTGTATGTAGAGTATTCAGCTGAAGAAGAGTTCTACCGAAATCTGGTGAACACTATCAGAGTGTTCCAAACCTAGTTGGTAAAGGTGTGAAGTGCCCGTTGGATTTTGATAATTCTCTAAATGATCAATGATGAAACTTAAACTGACAACTCTTCATTAGTTAAAAGGGAATTAAAATCATTATTGCCTTTTCAAGATAGATAACTTGTTGAAGTATATCAGCTCATGTGGTTGAATTTAATTTTAGTCAATTTTGGTCAGTTAACAGACACGGATGAATGAACTGGTCAGTTAATCAATAAAATCTATGAAACATAAAAAAAAGAATACAAAACCACATATAATATTTTTTTATCATAAGGCCAGTTAGTGTTCCTTCCTTCTCTAGATGTGAATTAAAACGCCCTATACCACCAATAAATATGCAGGTAGAGAGAAGGTATCTGACTCATTGTGATATGTGAAAAAAAAGACAAACAAGTTGAGATTTTTGGTAGATGTTAAAGTATCTCTGATTTACATTGAAACCAGTGCTGTTGTCCATTTCCAAGTCACCTCTTTTATAAATTCTCAGTAACTCTGTAAGGCTAAGTGTACACTTAATCAGTCATTGCTGTTTATCAAGTTTTCTTGAAGTACAATTAATGCAGTAAACTAGGTGTGTACCTGCTTGTGCGTGTGTGTGTCTCTGTAGAAAGATAAAGCGATGGAGAAGACGCAGTGTCAGAAGTTACATGACAGCAAACAGGTGAGTAGGATATTATTTCTTAGCGTTTACACTAGGAGTATTATTATTATTGTTCCCTTGGGTTCCTAGTGGAACATAGGGCTTCAGCTGCACGTCTCCACTTGCCAATTCTGTCTTCTGCTGTACTTTTCACCTGCATCGATCCATGTTAGTCGATACTGTTTCAACTCCTCATCACACGATACACTAGGGATATAAATAAGTCGTTTATTTCACTAAAGAAAATTATGCATGATATACAGAACACCTTTTCGAGTGTGGACGTGATCATGAAGTCGTACTTTCTAAAGAAGCATTCAAAGCTAAATAGAACAATGTATTTTTCAAGTGTCAGGTTTCAGGGAAGGAATTTATTCCAGTAAATGAATGGCAAACTAGCATCCCCAAACAATCCCCAAAAGGGAAGAAACAGGTGTCTAGTACTACTTGGTTGTGTAAATATTGTGGATCCCCGAAGAAAATTGAAGCAGATCATATTTATATAAATTAACTCTTTCTTGAATATACCATAAGTGATTCTTCTTATTTTATCTTTAATGTTGCCAACACTGAATTGTACTCAATAGAATGTCAAATTTTCCCATAACTTTCATTTTAAAAATATGGTCTTTCGACTTTGTAATGAAAACAAAATGAGTACTTTCATATTAGTTTGTTTATTAGATGTATCACACAGTGAGTGAAACAGTATTAATTACTGGATGACAAGGTTTCGAACAGAAGTTATTGTTCAAAATAACTTCATCAATTATAATCACACAACTTTGAAACTTGAGTCGTCGTAGGCGTGTTAGTAGAATTTTCCAGATATCTGTCTAGACAGGTGTAAAATCATCCCTATTACACGAGTTTGCAGTTGATTCGATAAAACAAGGCTTATGTTATCAATCTCTTCCTCCAACGTGTGACATTTTAAAACTGTCATCCTATCCCGTGCTACTATATGGCTGTGTGTATTTGCATGTAGTGAGTGGCTGAACTATTCTCTAGAATTCTTATCTTATTTGGGTCAACCAGTCTGGATTTTGTTGGGTTTTTATATTTGACTAGTCTGACTGCCCCTATTCTACTACTTTGAATGATGTATTTGACCTGACAATCATTGTAGTCAGGGTATTAGATAAATTAAATTGCTTTGTTTATGTTGGCTCAACAGGATTGATCCTTCAACCGACAAAGCTTGTATCTAATTCAGTTTGGTTACCTTTTATTCCTGCCTTGTTAAGAATTCTGCGTAACGTGGTCTGCGAGGTTCCCTCCTTGTATGGGATTACTACTGATGATTTAGATTCCTTATTGTTGGTGTCGTCATTATTATTATTATTAATATTATTATCATCGTTATTATCGGTATCATTGTTATTATTATTATCACCATCACTACTATCATTATTTGTTTTATTGTTACATTTCACTACATATTTGCTGACTAATTTATCCGGGTAATTATTACGTTTCTAGGCTTCCCTCATATGTATCACTTCCTATCTTAGATTTTCCTTAGTACTACTTAGTTTTTGTGCTCTGTCGCTTAAACATTTCACCAATCCTATTTTCACTGACATAGGATGGGATGATCGGAAATCCAAATATCTGTTTGAATATTTGGGTTTTCTGTAAACTCTGGTGTTTTTAACTTCCCATCTTCTTTCCTTTTTACTGTGCAATCCAACATTCGAATATCTCCTTCCTGACTTTTCAATTCATAAGTGAATTGAATTGCCTCTACGTTCGATTTCATGTGTAAAATGAGTACCTTTGATGAACTTTGGTACTTCTTTACACACTGTAAATCACTGGCAAATGCTTTTGAAGTTAAAGTAGATTAGAAGTGGTTTACAGGCTAACTGATTTACGTACATGAATGTAGGTGTTATTACGACAACGGAAGAATCTCTCATTTATATTGTAGACGGTAGAGATAAACGTTTTTGTGACATAGTAAAGAGTTCAAAAATAATACAGCAGTCAGCAATATTTTCTATAAATGAAAACCTTTCGAAAAATGAGGAACTGATAACTAGTGACTGGGTCTGTATAGGAAGTTACTTGGAGGTTGTAACCAGTTGGGTCCATCAAGTCATATATGAGATCAAATTCGCACCAGTGATAATGGCTGGCAGTTGCACTAAATATACACACCACAAAATGGCAGTAGTTGGATTTCATAGGCCTCTTGTTCGAGTCCCCGTGGCTGAATGGTCTAGAAGCTGGCCTTGTAGCCAGAATGTCTGAAACTCGGCGAGTGCATACTGGTTAAAAGAGTCCCAAACTAGAATAAAACAGCCGCCCAGTGCTCCCAGGTTTTCCAATAGCCCTCTAACTGGTGTCAACTCTTCATCAGACCTATAATTCAGGAATTATCAGTCAAACTAATTCCACTAGTAGTTCAACCATTTTTCTAGTGTGCATGAATTGAGATTAGACTTCATTTGCAGAAACTTCAGTGCCCGGCTGAATTTCACTCAGATGCAGCGCCACGTTCATTTTGCAGGGGGAAAATTTAGTGTATTAAACTTTGTAAGTAAGAAACAACCCCCATGCAAATGAAACCAAAATATTGAAATATCTTCTGTGCCTCCACACGAAAATACTGAAGATCAAACGGCCGACGAGAAAGGATCAGCAGCAAAGAAATCTGGCGATTCAGCGAACCAGCCAAGAATCTCTTTCTCTCTCAACAAATATGCAGAAAGAAAAAGAGGTGGATAGGACATACACTGAGGAGACCATTCAGTACCATCCAGCACCAGGCCGTAGAGTGGAAACCGAATGGAGTGCGACAAATTGAACCTATGTGATATCAAGGGCATCATGTGTGCGCAAAGTGAAAGCTTGTTAACAATTATCGTTTCAGTTAAACAGAGCTTCTGAGAAGACAGTGAAATGAAGAAATGCTGATGAAGCCCAGTGTTCCTCCTGAAGCTCAACAGAACAGAAATAATTATCGAAATTACAAGTCGCTTAATGCAAGGATACATTTTATTACTGAATAAAAACGAAAAGCTGAACAATTATAATTCCACTTACCAATTAGATACAATAATTGTTGTGAACACTTGACAAAAACTTGAATATAATCGAATTATCCATAGACTATACAATAAATAAACTGGTAAAACTCCATATTGAATCCAACCGATTTGACGAAAATCGAGGCATCCAGTAAATTTTAAGCGAACTGGTTCCACTATGAAACACACGGAAAAGAAAACAATCAGCATTACACAACTCATATCTTGAAGTAATTATAAAGTGTTTAGTATACGTATATGTACACATAGTTAAGTTCCTACTAAATGTATTAGACAGCGTGAATTGTCATTTGTGTGCCAGTAGTCCCACAGTAGACTGCTCACCAGTCAAGCAAGTTGCCTGGGTTCAGTTCCAGGCGGATTCACTCCTAAACCTAGCCTAACTCACTAGTCAGTGGTAAAACGGAAGAACAGGGAGGATCGAGCTTAACGCCAACCGCTCAAATTAGTAAAAGAAACGACTTCAGTTTTAGTTAAACTTCGGAACTTGAAACTTTCTGGCCCTCTCCAGGAAGGGAAAAATTGTACCAAATGCAGTAACATCCATTCACCAAACAAGATGAAGTCTTTGTAATGTATTTCAAAACACTGATATGATGTCAGAGTTGAGCAACTTATTAAACAGGACCGGATGGAATCCCAGCAGAAGCTTTGAAAATAGACCTAGAGACAACAGTGGACTTGATGATGCCACTGCTGGAGAAGGCGTGGAACGAGGGCAAAGTAGCCGAGGATTGGAAGAAAGGATACTTATTCAAACTACCAAAGAAAGGAGACATAAGTCAATGCGAAAACTGGCGCGGAATTATGCTCCTGTCCATCCCAAGCAAAATACTAAGCCGCATCATCCTGGAGAGAATCAAACAAGCCAACCTGGATGAAAAACTTCGACCGGAACAAGTTTGATTCAGGGGAAACAAGTCATGTGGTGATCAAATCGCCACTCTACGGATCATCATTGAACAAAGCTTGGAATGGCAGTCACCTCTCTATCTCAACTTCACTGACTTTGAAAAGGCCTTCGACAGCGTCGATTGAGAGGTGATTTGGTAACTACTACTTTACTACCGGGTCCCATCGACAATTATACATCTCATCCAACAGTTGTACATCAGTACTGCATGCCAAGTAATCCACAACGGGAAACTCACGGGATCCTTCGAAGTGATGACGGGAGGAATACGAGCTGGCTGCCTACTATCGCCAATGATTTTCCTGACTGTAGTATGTTGGATAATGCAACAGAAGACGTACGATGAGGAAACAGGCATAAAATGGACCCACATAAAAAACTAGGAGGATCCGGACTTTGCCGATGATATATGTCTGATTTCCCACAAACTGGAAGATATGCAAGTGAAAAGCAACAATTTAGTAGAAGAAGCATCAAAGATAGGACTTCAGGTAAACATAGATAAAACAGAGGTGATGAAGATTCCTGGCCAACAGCAACAGCAACATACAACAGACAACAATCAGCATAAATAGAAGGAATCTGAAAGAAACAACCTCCTTTACCTATTCACATACTTACCTACATGGGAAGCATCGTTTCAACTATAGGTGGGCAGAACTAGCAAAGATATCAAAGCCAGAATCGGGAAAGCAAGAAAAGCTTTCATTACTCTTAAGTCTGCGTTGAGGTCAACAGCTCTCAGCATCAAAAATAAGATCTGGATTTTCAACTCCAATATGTAGTCAGTGCTACTATACTGATTAGAGACTTGGCGCGTCATAAAGAGCACCTCAAACAGACTACTGACCTTCATCAACAACTTTCTTCGCTCAATAATCAAGATCAGATGGCCGGCCAGAAAATATCAACAACACGGAGGGATGGGAGCAAACCAACTCAACCGAAACCAATTGTTGAACAAATGTGCCGGAAGAAATTGAGGTGGATTGGCTTTACTCTAAGAAAAGCATCAAGTGGCATAACTAGACAAGCCCTCGAGTAGAACCTGAAAGGGAAGCGGCGAGTTGGTCGTCAGTGCCAGGGTGTTATGGAGGAGGTCATGTGAAAAGGAGATGAAAGCGTGTGGGCAGACATGGAGCGGGGTGAAAACGGTGGCAGAGAACCGAACGCAATTGAGACGTTTTGCAGAAGCCCTATGTTTCTTTAGGAATTAAAGGAAATAATAATAAATAATAAATTTATTAAACTTTGCATATGTGGTTCTGCTGCGAGTGAACTCAGTGATAAAATATGACAGTGTACTCACAGATTTCAAGCAGTATACATTTGAAACTCAACGGAAATACAACGTTTGAAAATATGTCTACTACTGATTAACTGATATAAGTAGCTGGGTACCTTTTGCATCAACCATTAGTGCTTGCTAGCCCGATCGACGTGATCTAAACACCAGACAGTCATTTCGATGGTTCGAGACCAAGCTCAACAGCAATTCGTCGAGTTTGACTCAATTGAGATATCCGGATTAAAACAAGCAATAAACGTTAATAAAGCGGGATTTAATGATGGATTCATCAAATTTCGGTAGACGTCTTCCTCAGCTGAATACTCTACATACATGGATACATATATACACTTTTGACATTGCATTGAGAGATATAAGACTGATAAGTAAACAAACTACATTGAATTAGTGATGCAGAAAGACGGGTTCGAATGTTTTCCAGGTCATGTTCAAATAGATAAGGCGAGAGAGAGTATGAGAGATCAAAATTAAGATAAACTGCATTGCGCTTCAATTACATCACTTAGATAAACAATTAGTCATTAGAGAATATATCAAGAATCGCAAACAGAGTAATATCAATACTAATAGTTATAATAACAATAATAATAGTGTTGAAGTGAGTTAAGGTAATACTACTTACTGATAAAGGATAGTTTTAAATGAATCAAGAATAATAATAATAAGAGGTAGAATAATAAGTAGAAGGTATTACCATGGTAGAATCAGAGTCACGACCATCTCCTTTTGTAAACAGAGACCCGGTTTATGAACTCGATTTGCACAAGCCTCTGCAATTGCAAGCGTCTTCTTGTTTCTTTGTCTGCTGACAATTGTGAATGACTTGATTGCGTTGATATCATGTCCATAGTCCACAAGATGTTTAGTTATTGAGGATTTTGGCACTTTGCACTCAGCTGTTTTCAGCCATTTCGGCAAATGCTCCATCTTGCGAGTAGGCAGACAATCCCTTTTCTATACGAGCTATGTATTTGCTTCCACAAGCACACTCGAATTGATATACGCAGTTTGAAGTGTCAAGGATTAGCGAGTACCGGTCTTTCCCAGATTGTTGGAGCACTCGCTGGGTGGTGTTAAGGACAACAAGCTTTGCAGAATAATAAGTTCTGTTGATGGCTTTATCAAGTTTTCGTTTGACTTTTTCCTGTACATCATCTCTTTTGAACGGCTAACTCATACTCTATCTCCTAACCTGTCTTTCTGCATGACTAATTCGATGTGGTCTGTTTACTTATCAGTCTTATGTCTCCCAATGTAATTTCAAAAGTATGTATATATATCCGTGTATGTAGAGTATTCAGCTGACGAGATCTACCGAAATTTGACGAATCCATCATTCAGTCCTGCCTTATCAACCCTTATTGCTTGTTTTAAATTCGTATCGTGAAATAAATGTTTTTTCAATATCCGGATTATCTCACATCACCCGAATTGTGACAAGAATTCGAACCCACTGTGTTCAGATCACTTTGATTTGCATAGCAAAAAATAGTGGTTGTTATGGGTGCAATCCAGCACGTTATACCAGTCATAAATATACACATATACATATATCATCAAACGATATATTTCCGTTTATTCCTTCACACCTGTGGATAAAGTATTCGATTTTATCACTGAGTTCAGCTGAAGTACACTTATGCATGAAATCTACTGGATTTTTTCCAAAAATTTTTTCTTTCTCGTTTTTAGTTGAACATAGGGTTTCGAGCTTGAAATTTCAAGTTTTGGTAGTAGTGGCTTTTATTTTTACGGGTGGGGATGCTAGCCTCATTCTCAACCTCCTCTCTTTACCCAACTTATTACTGGTTTAGCAAGGTTTAGAAATGTGTCAGCCGGGAACCGAACCCTGAACCACCTGTGCAGTTGATGGCGATCGTTCTACTACTGCACCTTTGACACACATCAACTTTACTGAGGTCAGAAATTATTCACAAATATTTTATTTACCGCATGAGCACCTTCAGCAGCAGCAAGAATAAGGATGTAAAACCTTCGCAATCAAAATCATCCAACTGAGAGATTGGGATTTTATCTAGGTTCAAATGGACATCAAACGATAAAGGTTATTGGGATGGTCAAATTGAGATCTGGTGTCAGTCAGTGAAGTCTCTTTAACTGATGGCTTGAACCATGAGTGTAGGTTTAGGCTGCCCGACTTCGATGCCCTAAAAATGCTAGGGACGAATAGCTGAACTTTGTCAGTGATATGGTTCAAAATCATTCTCACTGTTACGTAAGCATCCGCTCTTTATGATCTCCCTCACGCATTAAACCTTCATAGTTTCTTTGAATCCATTTTTTCTCTCTTTTTTCTGCTGTTGTAACCTCAACTGCCGAACTTCTTTTTGCAAGATCTCATTGTGAAGATGAAAGCCTGGATTATATTCCCACTATTACTAAATCTAATAACAATCATTCTAACCGCATCATAATTATTTTGACAAAGACTTTGTGAAATTTGTCAGGAATCATGTTCAAACTTCGCCGATAATATATGTCTGATTTCACACAAACTGGAAGATATGCAAGTGAAAAGCAGCAAGTTGGCAGAAGAAGCATCCAGAGAAGATAGAACTTCGGGTGGACGTAGATAAAACAGAGGTGATGAAGATTCCTGACCAACAGCAACAGCAACAACAACAGACAACAATCAGCCAGCATAAATGGGAGGAACCTGAAAGAAACAACCTCCTTTACCTACCTGGGAAGCATTATTTCAACTACAGGCAGGCGGAACTGACGAGGATCGGAAAAGCAAGACAAGCTTTCATTAGTCTCAAGTCTGTGTGGAGGTCAACAGCCACTACTCAGCATGACAATGAAAATAAGATCCGGATTTTCAACTCTAATGTGAAGTTAGTGCTACTATAGGGATGTATCAGAGACTTGGGGCTTCATGAAGAGCAAGTCCAACAAACTGCAGAACTTCA